CTGGTTTCACATGTGGGAGGCAGAGGCCCTGGCGTTGGGCCATCTTCCGCTGATTTCCCAGACATTTTAGCAGGGAGCTGAATCAGAAGTGGAAGTGCCAGACCTTGACCAGTGCTCAGCTGGGATGCCGGCATCACAGGCCATGGATTAATCCACTGCACCACAACTCCAGCCCCCAAGTTTCTTTTGTATTCATTATTTAATTTTCAGAGACAGAGACACAGGTATATGTTTAGCGTTCCCACCTGCTGGTTCACGCCCCAAATGCCTACCATGGCCAGGGCTGTGCAGGGACAAAGCAGGCAGCTGAAAACTCAGTCCAGGTCTCCCACGTGGGAGGCAGGGGCCCAGGTACTTGAGCCATCACCCTCCACCTCCCCAGGTCAGCATGAGCAGGAAGCTGGAGTCAGGACATAGAGCTAGGTATCCAACCAAGGCACCCCGCTATGGGAAAGCAGGCACCTTAACCTCCAGAAGCTAAGTAACTGCCCCAGCAGCTGCTGTCTGCACAACGATTGTGAAGATTTCCAGAAAATTCTTTGGACAGCACTGCTCTACAAGGTGGAGCCTCGGGAGAGTTCTTTGCCCTCTAGAAGGGCTGGAGTTCCTAGAAGTCACTGATCTAGAATCCCTGTCATTGGGAATGTTAGACTCGCAGGACCATCAAGCTTAGAGCCTCACATGAGAGAACTTGGCTGAGCGCTCATTTCTTTGAGTCTGAAGACCTCAGCTTCTTGCCGGGACTGCCGGAGGGTGCTGTCCACCCCGGGAGGTTGCTTCCCTCTGTGCTGAAGGTCACATGCCCATTTTCTTTTGTTAAACTATATTTTAAAAAGAGATTTACTCATTAGAAAGCAGACTGATAGATCCTCCCTGTGCTGGTTCACTCCACAAATGGACACAGTGGCAAGGGCTGGGCCAAGCAGAAACCAGGAGCCTGGAACTGCATCCAAGTCTCCCACGGCCGTGGCAGGGGCCCCACTAGGACCGTCCAAGGCTGCCTTCCCAGCCGCAGAGAGGGAGCTGGTTTAGAAGTGGAGCAGCCTGGACTCCAACTGATGCTCATCTGGGATGCAGGTGTCCAAGGCTGTGCCGTAGCCAGCTCCAGTCTCCTGGATTTGTAGACATGATCTCCTGGGACTGCTCAGGCCCACAGCTGGCCTTCCTGGGCTTTAGCAAACACTGGAATAGAGAGTGAAACCTGACCTAAGCCTTCAGCTCAGAACAGGCTGTCACATCTACCGACTAAACGCTCAGCAGAGCCCAGGTGCTGGCACCACAGTCTTGGCCTTGTGGGCTGTGCAGGTGGAGAGGGGCCCAGCCTTTGGTCAGTGCCCCAGGCCTCCAAAGGGAAGTGCACTCTCCCAGCCCCTCAGGGAGTCGGCTCGGTACAAGCAGCCCCAAGGGACACTGGCCTCTCCTCTCTGGGGTGCTGTTGGAGGTGGAACCCACAGGCCCACATGTGGTACTGTGGGCGGGGTCTAGAATCTCCCCAGGCAGCATGTGGAGTGTAGGGTGTGGTCCTTGTGTGGGAGGCACTGGCAGCATCTCCTGCCTTCTCACTTCTCCATGCTCTGTCTTACAGAAAGACAACAATTCCTGGCGCTACCTCAGGAGCCGGAAGCTGACACCCAGTGACACAGATGAGTGGTTGTCCTTCGAAGTCACCAGGATTGTGCGGCAGTGGCTGAGAGGTGGAGGTAAGGACCCAGGTCTGTCCCACCCCTGCTTCTCCTGGGTTCTGCCCCTGCCACCTGTTGCTGTCAGAGGCACTCAGAGCTGGGAGATGAGTGAGGGATCTGTTCATGGTTCATCCATTTCCTGAGCACCTGCCTTCTGCCCTGCCCTGTGACAGGTGATGCAGGGGACAGACACAGCCTGACCAGGACAGCCCAGTCCTGGCCTGTACTGAGCTCATCATCACTTGGGTGGGTAGGTGGGTGGTTAGCTGTGCAGTGATGACCCAGAGTGGCCATGCTGGGATGAGGAGCCCAAAGGGAATGCCTGGCCCAGCCTAGGTTCGGGGAGGGCTTCCTGGAGGAGGACGTTTCTGAGCTGATGTTGGAGGGCTGAGTAAAATCTGGAAGGAAGCAGTGAGGGGCCGCGTGTTCTGGGCAGGGAGCAGCCTGTGCAAAGGCCCTGAGAGCAGGCAGAGCCGGGCACAGTGCATCTGCCCAGGAAAGGACTGGGCCACTCTTCTCCCTCGCTGAGTCCACAGTGCCCAGGGGTCCCTCCTAGTCATGCACGCATCCCAGGACTCCCCTCAGGCTCCTGTCCTGGGCCCCGCCCTGTGTGGGAGGCGTGGGGGACACAGTGGGGAGCAGGACAGCCCTGGGTCCTGCCCTCCTGGGGTCCACTTCCCTCTGCACTTAGCAGTTCCTGCCAAAGCCCCGGAGGGCAGCAGTGACCTGGAAGGACCAAGGCTGTGAATGGGGAAGCAAAGGCAGAGGGGTTGGGATGAGGGTGGGGAAGCCCCCATTGCTGTGTGGGCCCAGAGCAGGCACCCAAACTCATCTGGGGGCCAGGAGGGCTTCCTGGAGGAGGGCGATTGTGTGGAGACTCACAGGAGAATTCCTTAGGCCAGGTGCAGCGAGGGCGCCCTGGGCCAGAGACTGTGCCTGACAGGATCTCCCGTGTCTGTGTCGCTGTCTGTCCAAGCACACAGCCCAGGGCCCACAGGCAGGAGGAGCTTAGAAACCATCACTCACTCATTCCAGTTGCCTTTATCCCACATGTGCCCTCGGGAAAGCCCCAGGCTGAGCTTTGGCTCCCAGCCTTGGCCCCCTGTGTGACCAAGGACAGGTCTCGTCCTTTCTCTATGTCAGCTGCTAGGCCTGTCAGATGGATAGTGGGGGGATTACAGGGACAGCACACAGGGAGGGGTTTAGGACACTATTTATTACTTGGAAGGCAGAGCGGTACACCAGTACACGTGGACCTTGATTTTTAAGGCAGCTGGTGGGGATGGAAGACGGTCTGTCTGCTGGGTCTCTAAATGCTTTCTCCAGACATGTGTTTGTTTAAAAATTTATTTGAAAGTCGAGTTAGAGGGGCAGCGCCGTGGCTCATTAGGTTAATCCTCCGACTGTGGTGTCGGCATCCCATATGGGCACCGGGATCTAGTCCTGGTTTCTTCTCTTCCAGTCCAGCTCTCTGCTGTAGCCTGGGAGGGCAGTGGAGGATGGCCCAGTGCTTGGGCCCCTGCACCCGCATGGGAGAGTAGGAATAAACACCTGGCTCCATGCTCAGTTTGGCACAGTGCCGGTCGTAGCAGCCATTTGGGGGTGAACAAACGGAAGGAAGACCTTTCTCTCTTTCTTTCTATATATCTCTACCTGTCCAAAAAAAAAAAAAAAAGTCGAGTTAGAGAGACAGACAGAGATGGAGAGAGGGAAGGGGAGAGACACAGAAAGAAAGAAGGGGGTGAGGGTGGGGGAGAGAAAAAGAGAACTTCCATTGGCTTTTTACTCCAATGGCTGCAGCGGCTTGGGCTTGCCAGGCTGAGCCAGGTGTCTGAACCCCAGCAGAGTCTACATGGGTGACAGCGCTCCAGGTACGTGGGCCATGTCTGCTGCTTTCCTAGGCACAGTAACAGGGAGCCACATCTGAAGTGGAGTACATGGTGGGTCAGTATTACGGTATAGGGGGTGAACCTTCCACCTGCAAAGCCACCATCCCACATGGTAACAAGTTTAATCCTGGCTGCTCCACTTCCAATCCAGCTCCCTGCTCATGTTCCTGAGAAAGCAGCTGAACCCCTCCCACCCTGGGAAAGCAGTGGAAGATGCCCAAGGTGGTGGTGGGGGCAAGGGTACAAGAGGGCTGTCCCAGGCAAGAGGAGCCCCTGGAGTTTGCTCCTTCCTTCCCCTTCCTCCAGGGTCTGGCTGAGCCTCCCACTCAGACTGCCTTCCCTCTCCCCACTCCCACAGAGGAAATAGTGGGTTTCCGCCTCAGCACCCACTGCTCCTGTGACAACAAAAATAATGTCCTCCAAGTGGACATCAACGGTGAGTCCCCAGCCTGGCCCAGCCCATCCCCGGCTGTGATTGTAGCCTGAGTGTGCTCGTGTGTGTGCCTGCGTGTGCTCGTGTGTGTGTACCCCCAACCCCTCAAACTACATCATGCCATGTTCCATCCATCTGAGAGTCCCCACCCAAACAGGGATCACTACCAGCCGCCAAGGTGAGCAAATCACCATTGAGAACACACAACTGCCCTTCTTGTTACTCACCGTCACTTTTCCGGAGGAGGCCCAGCAGCTCCACAGCGCCCAGCACAGCTGAGCCCTGGACACCAACTACTGCTTCAGGTGAACATGGCGGTCTCCGACTGTGGCCCTCCGGGCTGCGCCCCTGGCTGAGCCACACTCAGCTGGGATTCTCTTTAGCCTGAGGGTCGGGACCTGGCAGCTGGGTTGGGACCTGGGAGGCCTAGAACGTGGGGCCCGGGCCCCTTCCTGGTGCAGTGCAGCAGTCGGAGGCTGTCAGGATGTGGGCACAGGAACTGGAATGCGGTGTGGCAAGGCTGCCTTGCTGGGGGCTTCTGAGTGTCTGGGGCTGGAGTTCTAGAATGCTGGGTGAGCGTCTGTGACTGGGAGCAAGGCCGCTGGAGTCGAGGAGGCTGCCTGCTGGGAGCCTAGAGGGAGGAGACTGTGCGGTTTGGGTTCCCACACCCCGGGCAGATCGGAGCCCCCAGTGCTGGCCCCTGGCGTTGGGACATTAGGCTCCCAGGGCTGGGACCTGGGCTGAAATGGGAGCCCTGGCTGGGTGTGGAGGAAGTGGGGATGCTGACTGCCCAGGGCAGGATGCGGGCTCAGCCAGGGAGTGCGGGGCCTGGCAGGCGGCAGGCTGGGCCTCGTGTGCTGGCTGCGCGTGGCAGGAGGCTGCATGGGAGGGTGGAACGTGGGGTCCTGGAAGGCCTGGCGCCTGGCGAGCTGGGACGCGGGAAGGGCGTCTTGGAGCTGGAGCGCGGGGACCTCACAGCCCAGTCAGCTGGGGCCCAGGTCCCTGGAGTTCACTTAGAATGTGAGGGCCCAGCGGGGAGTCGCAGCCCACCCCTCCCCCAGGAGAATCTGTGGTGCTGTCCGGGCTTTCTTTCATGGCGTCCCTGGCTGGATGTCGCCCCTTGTCCAGGGCTCTTCCAGCACCAGATCTCACACCTGGGCTAGGACCCCCAGGGAGTGAGGGGCTGCGGTCCTGAGCGCCCTGGACTCTGGGAGGCAAAACAGGAGCTCAGCGGCGAGGGCGCTGCCCGGAGTCAGACCTGGCCCTGCTCAGGGCTCTGGGCCACGGGGACGCAGGCTGCGGAATCCAGACCTGGGAGCCCGATCCAGGGGACACCCCCTCCACACACACACATGTACCAGGGAATCCAGAAAGTTAATTTGGAATTGGAATTAAAAACCTGTAATTATTTTGGTGCAAAAAGATTTATGATATCTATGCAGAGTTTTGTTTTTTGTAATGTGTATTTTTCACTTGTTTTGAAAATAATTTTCCATCAAAAATTACTTTGCCCAATTGTAAGTATACATAAGTAAGTACCCCTGGGTGGGCGTTGTGGTATAGCAGGTAAACCTGCTGCCTGCACCTCCGGCATCCCCTATGGGCTCCAGTCTGATTCCTGGCTGCTCCACTTCTGATCCAGCTCCTGCTAATGGGCCTAGGAAAGCAAGAGAAGAGGGCTCAATGCCTGGTCCCCAGCACCCACGTGGAGTCCCAGATGAAGCACCTGGCTCAGGCCTGGCCCAGCTCCAGCCGTTGCCCTCTTTTGGTCAATGAAACGGATGGATGAGCTTTCTCAGTCTTCCTGTATCTCTGTAACTCTGCTTTTCAAATAAAATAAAGAAATAAATAAGCAAATAATCTGTTATACAGTAGTTATAAATATGCATTTATTTATATAAATCATATATAAATATACAAATAGATATTTGTATATCATATAAATGGGTAATATATATTATAGATTATAATACATATAAGTAATGTTTATGTATGTATTTAGACTTTATATAAACATTGAGTATATAAAAATGGATGGGGGGCCGGCACTGTGGCGCAGCAGGTTAAGGCCCTGACCTGAAGCGCCGGCATCCCATATGGGTACTGGTTCTATTCCCCGCTGCTCCTCTTCCAACCCAGCTCTCTGCTATGGCCTGGGAAAGCAGTAAAAGATGGCCAAGTGCTTGGGGCCCTGCACCCACATGGGAGACCTGGGAGAAGCTCCTGCCTCCTGGACTTGTATCGGCACATCTCCAACTGTTGCAGGCAATTGAGGAGTGAACAAGCAGATGGAAGAACTCTCCCTCTCTCTGCCTCTCCTCGCTCTGTGTAACTCTAACCTTCAAAATAAAAAAAAATTAAACCATAAAAATGGGTCCCTGCACTGTGGCATAGCCGGTTAAGCCACCTGGGATGCTGAAATCCCATATGAGTGCCACTTCAAGTCCTGGCTGCTATACTTCTGATCCAGCTTCCTGCTAATGGCCAGAGAAAGCGGCAGAGGATGGCCCAAGTTCTTGGGCCCCTGCACCCATGTAGGAGACTTGAAAAAAGCTCCTGGCTCCTGGCTTCAGCCTTACCAGGCCTGGCCGTGCAGCCATTTGGGGAGTGAACCAACGGCAAAGGAAGACCTCTCTCTTTCTCTCTTTCTGTAACTGTACCTCTCAAATAAATGAATAAATTTTTTTAAAAAAGCTTGTATTTATGAGCCGGAGCCGCGGCTCACTAGGCTAATCCTCCACCTAGTGGCGCCGGCACACCGGGTTCTAGTCCCGGTTGGGGCGCCGGATTCTGTCCCGGTTGCCCCTCTTCCAGGCCAGCTCTCTGCTGTGGCCAGGGAGTGCAGTGGAGGATGGCCCAAGTGCTAGGGCCCTGCACCGCATGGGAGACCAGGATAAGTACCTGGCTCCTGCCATTGGAATAGCACGGTGCGCCGGCCGCAGCGCGCTGGCCGCGGCGGCCATTGGAGGGTGAACCAACGGCAAAGGAAGACCTTTTCTCTCTCTCTCTCACTGTCCACTAGCCTATCAAAAAAAAAAAAAAAAAAAAAAAAAAAGCTTGTATTTATTTATTTATTTGAAAGAGAGGAGAGGGAGAGATCCCAAAACGGTGCAACAGCCGGCACTGGTCCAGGTCCAAGCCAGGAGCCAGGAGCTTCATCCGGGGCTCCCAGGGACAGTTCTCTGCTGCCCTCCCAGGCTCACAAGGAGGCAGCTGGATCTGAAGTGGAGCAGCCAGGACTCCACCCAGCACCCATTTCGGAGGCCTACACCGAAGTCAGCAGCTTAACCTCCTGGGCCTCAGTGCCTGCACCAATCAATCAATCTTAAAAGAATAAAAGAACAGAGCCTACCCTTAAGCACTCAGAGGTTTCTGTGCCAGGCTCCGCCCAGGGCCAGGTCTCACTGCCCAGAGCCACCGGCTGCTTTATGTGCCAGCACAGGCATTCAGAGCTGAAGGGGCCAGAGCGCCTGGGTGACAGGGTGACTATGGGGCCAGCACTGTGGTATAGTAGGTTAAGCCTCTGCCTGCAGTGCCGGCATCCCATATGGGTGCCAGTTCGTGTCCTGGCTGCTCCATTTCCCATCCAGCTCCCTGCTGATGTGCCTGGGGAGGCAGCAGAGTATGGCCCAGGTGCTTGGGCCCCTCCACTCATGTGGGAGACTGGGATGAAGCTCCTGGCTCCTCCCTTCTGATGGGCCCAGCTTCTGCCATTAATGGTGTGGCCATCTGGGGGAGTGAACCAGCTGGTGGAAGATATCTCTAACTCTGATTTTCAAATGAATGAATAAAACTTAAAAAGAAAATGCAGACTTTCCCACTGGTCAAAACAAACAAACAAAAGGCTACATGTGAGCAAAATAGAAAAACACGGTACAGGCATGAGTGTCCTGCGACGCTGTGAAAGAGGACACAGCCCGGACCCAAGTGAAGACGGCCTCTGAGTGGCCTCACTGGCCCTGGTCCATGTGCAGGGATGGTGCGACCCCTCCCCCACTCCCATTCACGGGGTCTGCACCCGTGGCCTGCACCCGTGGCCTCAACCAACCACAGACCAAGAATTCTCCAGAGGAGGGCACTGGGTAGGTGGTTCAGGCATGTGTGGTACGTCCGCTCCCGTTTCAGTGGGCTGAGGTTCAAGTTCTGATTCAGCGTCCTGCTAATGCGCATCCTGGGAGGCAGCGGCCCACGGCGAAAGCAGTTGGGAGACAGAAGGGGCTCTCGCCGGGGCTTCAGCCTGCCTCAGGTCTGGCCATCGCCGCACTTGGGGGAGTGAACCAGAGGACGGAAGGTGTGTCTCGCCTCCCACATCTTTTTTTGGCTGCAGTACAGCAGCTGCACCTAAGCCCTGGACCGTCCGTGACCCCTCTCCACGTCCGGGGTCCTCCACGGGGTCCTTGGGCAGCAGCAGCCAGGCGCGGACAGCTGGCGGGAGACCCTCAGCAGCGGCCGCCGTGACCCCGCCCCAGCTGACCCAGAAGTGCTCCCGGAACCCGTCCAGGACGTGGCCAGGCCTGTGGCCTCCAGGGCCCGTGATTCACTCCACTTTGTCCTTGCTTGCAAGGCCTCTTCCCTCAGTCTGGCAGCCCCAGAGCACACGCAGAGGCCTCCCGGGGCCCTCGGGCGTCGGAGACAGGGTCAGCACACCCGCGGAGCCCGTGGGCAGCTGAGCGAGCGTGAAAACCTCAGCCCACGCAGGCTCACGACACACAGGCCGACAGCAGCTCTGAGCTGAACGCCGGGTTCCGGGTGCGGATGCTGGCACAGACGCTCCCAGTCTGGCCCAAGCCAACCTCCGACACCCGGGAGTCCTGGAGCTCCCCGCAGGCCTCCCAGAGCTTCGCTTGGCGACGCTGGGGTGCGGGCGCTCTGCGCAGGCGCCGCCGCCCACGTGACCCTGTGCCCGCCCACTTCCTGCCCCGCGGAAGGTTCCAGAGCCCGGGGCGCCCGCGTGGGCTGGGCTGGGGGAGCGGGGACTGCGGAGCCCGGCCGGAGCCGCGAGAGGGGCTCTGCGGGGTCCCGTCGGCGTCCAGGCGTCCCCGGCGGGCTCCTCCGTCCTTTGCTGGGACGTTTGGACGGAGAAAGAGCCGGCCGCGGGCTAGGCCTTGAGAGGGGCGGTGCCTCTCCTGGGCTCCTCCTAGAGTTCCCGGAGCCGCCGCTTCTCTGTGTGAGACACCCGCTCACGGGTAACGTGTGTGTGTAGTGTGTGCGTGTGTTCTATGTAACGTGTGTGTAGTGTGTGCGTGTGTTTCTATGTAACATGTGTGTATGTAGTATGTTTCTATGTAACGTGTGCGTTTCTATG